TTTGTTGCCTTCTTTCTTCTCAAACTTTAACAGACTTACTCTTGTACTTTCTCAAGATTAACAGTTTGCTCCCCCCTCCCCCAGAATGACTTCTCTGTGTCTAAAAGATAAGAGGAAAGTAATTTGGGGGATAGAGATGTGAAATGGAGAGCATATTGGTAGTTTTTGGTAAATGATCAGATAAACATAATTATTTTTAAAGTTATACATCTTTGTTATGCAAAAAATAGTGTTCTTGAAGAATTTTTCTCATTAGTTACTTAATTAAAAATTTTTTTGAGTTGCGTTTGCCAATATAGAAGGTGGAATGTAGGGGTAATATTTTGTGTGGCATGGTTTCTGTTTATCATACTTACCTTTTAAAAATCTGTTTCTTACTCTGAATATATTCGTTACTCTCTTTTTACAAACAGTGAAATTAAGGCAGATAAGAGTTAAGCCATTTTTCTAAAAATCACTATTCACCCTTGTTCTTAGCTTTGAGAAATAACACTGAGCCTCCGTTACAATATGTCATAAAGATGTTGCTTTTATTCCCATCCCACCATGTCTGCTTAGTCCATAGCATACAGACGCCTTGGAAAAATAAATATTCAAAAATGTAGTTAATTTTTAGACACAGAGGTTTTTTTGTGAGTGTGTTCATATTCTAGGCTTTCTCCGACTGTTTTAATCAAGTAAGAGGATAAAATTTTACTTTGTTGACAGACTGGAGATTATAGTTTTCATCCACGTATCATTAGAAAGGCATTTGAAGTTAAGACTTAAAAAGCAGTGTTTATTGTTTGTTTGTTTTTGGATTCCCATTATTTTGTGTCCTTTTGCTATTGGGTGTTTCAGGATAACTGTATTCAGCACCAGCTGAGGTCTGAAAGAGGTTCCCAGGGCAAAGCTTAAAATTACATGGCTTGACTTAAGGGAGCTGAAAGTATAATAGACAAGTTAAGACAACAGTATCTCTTAGTTTAAATGAATTCATGAACGAAACAGCCATTCTCACTAGATCCTTTCCAAATAGCTTCTGGCTTCAATCAGCAAGAATTCTGTACGTGGTAGTAGCAGGTTAATTTTTCAGCCATGCTGTGATTATCTGTTCCTGAAATGAAGAAGGCAAGTTGATGTAATGGACCTGCTTCTCAGAAAGCAGAATTTCCAAAAGTTTCCATCCAAGTCCTGCCTTGTGATTGGTTTGGTGTGATTCCGTCCCTGTGTCTAGGCCTCATCCATCATCTGCAGAATGACGGAGGTAATCACCTCTAGAAGTCATCAAGCTAAGGAAAGCTAAGAGTGCAAAACCGTTTGTGTGACCAAGCTGTGTGTTGAGCTACTGGTTGGTTGGTTGTTTTTTTCACTTTAACAACTTTGTGATTATGTCTTTCTCATCCCCCATAATAGACCATGGTCCTGGGCATCATTCTGTCCCCTAAAACACTTTGCCTAAGTGCATTACCTTAGACAGAAATTGCAGCCTCTTAACATGTGAGGCCTTTCACCCCCAAGCTCCTGCCTGTGTGCCCACCACTCACCCACTGCCTTGCTCCTGAAGCTCCAGTGACAGTGACCCATGTGTAACCTTTCACTGATTTGTCATACTTTTTCATCCTTCTGGCAGGAATTCCTTTGCTTTCTTCACTTTTATTCTGGCTCCTATCAAATATTCAAGACTCAGCTTAGGCATCATTTCCATCAAGATGCCTTTCTAGAACTTTTAAAATTATTATTATCTGTATCTATCTTTAAATTTTTTTTTAAAATTATAGAAATATAATTCACAAACCTACAATTTACCCATTTAGAGAATGCAATTCAGTGATTTTCATTATATTCACAGATTGCTGGAACCATCACTACAGTCAATTTTAGAACATTTTTATCACCTCAAAAAGAAACCTCAACCCCTTCAGTTATCACCTGTGCGCTAGCTTCTTTCCCAGCCCAAAGCAACTGCTAATTTGCTTTCTGTCTCTACAGATTTCCCTACTGTGGATTTTCATAAGAATAGCATAGTATGTTGAATCTTGTGGCTGGATTCTTTCACTTCACATAATATTTGAGATTCATCCGAGTTGTACATTTCTTTTAATGGTGGGATAAGATTGCGTTGTACTGATGCACTATGTTTCATTTATCCATTCATCTGTTGATGAACATTCAGGTTGTTTCCACCTTTTGGTTATTATGAGACATACTTCTCTGAACGTTTATTTACACATTCTTTAATTAAATCATAGCTATGTACATTAATGCAGTCATGGGGTACAGTGTGCTGGTTCTATATACAATCTGAAATATTTTCATCAAATTGCTTTACATAGCCTTCATGTCATTTTCTTAGTTATTGTGTTAAGACATTTATATTCTACATTTAGAAAGATTCACATGTACCCTTGTACATTTACACATTTTTGTGTGGACGCTTGTTTTCATTGTCCCTGGGTGTATATCGAGGAGTGGTCTTGCTGGATTATAGGACAACTCTATTGAATTGTTTGAGGAGCCGCTGGAGCACTATTCCAAAGCAGCTTGCTTACCTTTCTGTCAGCAGTGTTCGAGGGTTCTGAGTTCTCTACAACCTGACAACACTTGTTAGGATTTGTCTTTTTGATTCTAGTACCCAGATAGGTGCAAAGTATTATTATCTTGTTGTTTTGTCTCTTTCAGATTTTTTTCCACTTGCATTTCCTTGGGATCTACACAGTGCTCCCCAGAAAGTGATAGGCACTCAAATATTGATTGGATTGAATGTGTTACAGAAGCTGTCATTTTTTTTATTTCAGCAAGTGCCCAGCAGGTACCTGTGATGGGTGTGCATTCTATTTCCTGTGGGAAAGTGCTGAAGCTTGCCCTCTGTGCACAGAGCATGACTTCCATGAGATTGAGGGGGCCTGCAAGAGAGGATTTCAGGTAAGGACCAAATCCATCTAAGCAGAACTGTGCCATTAAAAATATACTTGGTTAGTCTGGCACCATATAGTAGAGACTCAGATTCAGAAGCATAGCTAAAGCTTATCATTAACTTAATGGGACACTAAAATACAGTAGAACCCCATAGTTGACCGCCTCTCTACATTGACCTCAAGTTGGTGTAATTTTCATAGATCAGACATGCACTATGTATTCATATGTGGGCCTTCCTTATGTTGACCAGTTTTTTTTTTTAGTCTCTTTGGTGGTCAATTTACAGAAGTTCTAGTGTATATTTAAAATCAAGTGTCTCAACTCTAAGACACTGGGGCAGATGTGCACTGGGCTTGAGGAAAATAAATCATGGCAAGGGAGACATAGGCTCTGGATATTTACCTGACTTATATAAATAAAGGACATACCATTAAACCAACATGTGGTTCATATAATGCAGGTGGAATAATTAAGAAGGGGATGGTATTACTGACTTACCACATGAAGCATGTCCAAAAAGTAAAGCATATACATATACAATCAAGATTCTGCTCTCTGTATTTTCTCTGTAATCATCTGGTCACTTATTTGATGTTGTTTTCTTAAATAAAGTTGAGATTCTACCCTATGTATTTTTGTTTGCTTTTTTACATTTACTATGTCATTAAAGGTATTCCTTCTCATTAAACTTTTTAAAAATATGATTGTTTTGTTATTGACAAGTATTCCATTATTTATACAGTTTTTAGATTTAATAATTTTCTTGTTAGACACTTGAGAAAAAATTAAAACCAGTCTTTTATAAATAACTTTGTACTATGCATCTTTGTTAGAAATTTGATTACCAAAAAGAAGTTAATTTGATCCAAGGAGATGAAAAATTTTAAGGTTCTCAATATATAATCACCAAATTTCTTTCGTTATATCAGTTTTCACTTTTGTCAGTAGTGTTTGAGAGAGTCTTCTTTGCAGCACTAGCTTTGAGTCGTATTGTATGGAAAAAGCTCTGCTTAATCTGCTTCAAGACTGCATGCATACCATTGCATAATCCCTGAAATTTCACTAAAATGACAGCAAAGAAGTACAGAGGAAAGTAAATCAAAATCAGTGCTGGAAACCCTAGTGGAGAGTAGGCATCAGAGGACTGGAGATGGAGATGGGATTTCTGTATGCTGGAAGGTAGATGGGATAGGACTGGTCAGCGTAGAGAGGGAATGCACTGGAATACCCACTGACTAAGGGGATTAGAGAAGGGAAATCTTCTGCCCAGGAAAGTCTTGAAGAGCCTGTAGTTAGCAGGTTAGAAGGCAGGAACGTGAGAGATGGAATCAGTGCCTCCACCATTCAGAGTATTTGGCAGCACTTGTGTTCAACTTACTAGGAAAAAAATATGGAAGACTATTCTATTCTCTAAGTTAATGTTTTTTAAATTTTAATGATAGTTAACTGGTAGTGAGAAATATATTGCACAGTAAACCTAGTATATAGACACAAATTAGACACTCAGAGATATACCTGAAAAAGTATGGAAAAAAGGAACAATGCTTATTTTCATATTTTATGATAACATAAAACATCCAGTTAATAGAAAATATATTCTTATTAATAATTTAATACAAACTAGGAAAAATACCCAGATAGACAGCACCAAAACAAAAATTAGGAAGTCTATTATTTAATTTGTCAAAACTGGTTGGGCATGGTGGCTCACACCTCTGTAGTCCTAGCACTCTCGGAGGTCAGGGTTGAAGGATTACTTGAGGTCAGGAGTTTGAGACCAGCCTAAGCAAAGTGAGACTCCATCTCTACTAAAAACAAAAAATTTAGCTGGTATGGTGGTATGTAGTCCCAGCTACTCGGGAGGCTGAGGCAGGAAGATTGCTTGAGTCAAGGAGTTTGAGGTTGCTGTGAAGTAGGCTAAGGCCATGATATTCTAGCCTGGGTAACAGAGCAAGACTCTGTCACACACACACACACACACACACACACACACACAAAAGTACTTTGTCAAAAGTGCTTACCTGCAGATAGTTTATTCACGTTTAGAGCACTCAGAGAGATGCTGCTTACTCAGTGCACTGCTGAGACAGTTCCCATTTTTAAGCGAGTCAAGGATGACAATTCCAGATTTATAAAAATGGTTTCTTATTAATCCTAATAATAACAATGATACTTTCTCTCCTCAGAAATAGAAATTCTTTTACTCCAAAATTAAGATATATCTTATAATTGTTTGTTAAAATAAATGAAAACTAAGCTGCATTCCTGTCTTGGTCCACCAGGTGTAACTCAAAGGTTTTGAAAAACTTAATGCTCTAAACATTTTTTAATATTCAGTGTTTCTTTTCCAGAATGTAATGAAGAGGTGTTGAAGTTTGCAACAGTTTCTCTTATTTCATTCAGACCATCTTCATAGGTTAGGTTCCCTTCAACTTATTATAAGAACGTTGAGAACAGGTGGTTGCTAGGTGATTCTTCTTAAGTATTTGCCTTTGCCTTTATGAATAATATCTTTTGGATTACTTTGATGTACTTGACATGTTGGAATTTATAATTCCACCCCCTGGAATTATAAATTTAATTTGAGAAATACCAGAATCAGCTAAATATATTCTTCTATTATACTTAGATTTCAATTTTGAAAGTATTTGCCAAAGGAGATTGAGCTTCAGTTAGAAAAATATGAACGTCATTCCTGAGTTCATACACATTACCTGGTGTATCCTGCTGCAACAGCCAACAAAGGGGTGGGATGCAGTGAGAATGGCCACCTCCAACCTCTGAATAAAACGTTTCAAATGAGCTTCATATATGAATGACAGCTTTTGCTGTGTTCTTCAATATATTGATGAACAAATGTGGAATTTTTTAGATGTCAAAGCTTCATGATAGAAAACATAGTTTTTTTGCAATAGGTATTTAAAAAATTTTAAATCATCCCCCAGTGTTTCAGCAGGGCTTTCTGTACCACCCTTTACAATTTTGCACTTTATATTGATTGAGCATGCACTTCCCAAATTTGTAACTATATCTAATACACACTCACATGAAGTTAAATGTACACAAGTCTGCCACATATAGCTGATACAAACAAGAAGAGCTGCAAAACTTGGAATAAAAGAGCTCTTATCAAATTAGATCTCAAAAATCTATTCCACATTCTGGTATATTAAGCATTACTTGTAAATGTCATGCAGTAGTAAAGATTTGAAGAGATACTGTGTTATCGCTGAGAGGAATGTTTTTTGATTTATCATCAAATTAATCTTACCCTGTTTATAAAATATCCTACACGCTGGAAGAAGACATTTTTCAGCTGTCGTGTCAGCCATTTTCTGTTTTCCTATGCTGTGTGATTGATTGAAGGAATAAAGCCTTCTAATTAATAATTATGTAATTACTAAGAGACTTTGCCAATAGCTTGACTTTTTTTCTTCATCAGTATTTGAGGAGCTTATCAGGAAGTTAAGCGTTCTGGGTTTACAAGTATCTTTCTAAATTTGGAGTTTTAAGATTCCATTTACAAGGCTGTCATTACACATGAGAGCTTGTCGTTTCTGTTGGGGGTTGCACATTTGATAAAGCCCTGTAGACTCTGGCAGAGTATCTTTTTCTTGTTAGAATGCACTTGAAGTAAACATTTGCCAACTGGAGTTTATGGTTTTCTCTGCTTTGTCATCATTTACACTTCAAGATGCAGCGGTTGAATTTGAACATGTTGGGTTTCTTACCTCATCAAAATGATGTGACTCATTTTAAAAGTAATTTATTTGCACTAAGTTTAATGAAAATATTATAATTGTCATGTACTAAGAAAATTCAATCGTGAGTATCCTTTCTATAAGACATGCCGAAATTTCCTATCCAAAACTTGATTGAAACTTTTCCTCAAGGAACTAAGATTCTCCTGCATATCACTTCATGCTAACTACAAAAATATGTTTATGAATATAAATATAAAATATAAAATTAAACATCATGGTGCTATCCTTCTTCAGGGTATTGGTAAAAGGTACACATTACAATCATACAAATTGCTAGGGGGTCACTGTATATGTTGAGATATGTAAGGAACCATGTACTGCACTCTGATTTTCTTTTTTGATCTTCCTTATTTGATATATTTTTAAAAATTTCTGGTTAAGACTCAGTATACTGATTTTTTTTTATTGACTACATAGTTTAACTATCTAGTGAATAAAAAAATGAAAAAAACATTGCCCAAAAGGGATTGAATCATCTATTTTTGGAGGACCAGAGCGCCTGGTGTGGGTAGTGATGACCCAGAATAATGCCTTCCTTGTTTTGCTGTGGGGAAGAAGAGTGCAGCCCATGTGCCCAACCCACAGGAGTCACCCAAGTCTGCCAACCATGGTGCCACCAACATGTCCTGCGTCCAGGGTCTGCTCTTCTGCTCAGAGTAGATGCTTTTTGGGAAAATGGGCCTATATGATGGGTGGATAAAAACCCAGTCTCATTAATTATATTAAACACAATCTAAGCCTTTATTAAAAAATATGACTGAAGTCAGGTATCATCAAAATTTAAGGACTATATCCCCCAAGTGTGTCCAATGGAGTGATTTTTATTCAGCTTCTTCAGCAGGTAGCAAGCCCTTCTGATGAGACAATCCCTGTTCTCGGTTTTCACATTTTCACTCATTATGTCTTTATTCACTTACTTCTATGTCCTTTTCCCTCCCTTTCTGAAGCTTCTGTTAAATGAATGCTGAATAATCTTGTCTGCCTACTGTAAGGAAAGGGTTAGAAAACTGACCTTGTAACACATCTCACTTTCACCATTGAATCTGACTCTCAGTGCTCATGTCGTATGTGGTTTTATTTATTTTTTTAAAAAAGGAAACCTTGTATGTGTGGAATGAACCTAAATGGTGCATTAAAGGAATTTCTTTGCCGGAGAAAAAGTTGTCAACCTGTGAAACAGTTGACTTTTGGCTAAAAGTGGGAGCAGGTGTGGGAGCTTTCACGGCTGTTTTGCTGGTGGCTCTGACTTGTTACTTCTGGAAAAAGAATCAAAAGTAAGTAATCTCATTGGAATGGTCATGTAAGAACTGGAGGGTATGTTTTATTGTGGAAATTTTAGACTTAACCATTTTATCCAATAAATAGGTTGGCTTAGAGACACAAGAAATTTCTCCTCATGAAGGAATTTTAGGAAAGGCATTTAAGAAAGCAAGCAGAGAAAATAATTGTTATTCCGATAATAAAAAGATCAAAGAACATAGAACCATTTATTATAAAACAAAGAAAATTGGAGGCTGCACGTTACTCAGGTAGATAGTAGTAGAACTGAGATTGCCAGGCAGATTTTCTCTCTGCGTCTGTTTTGCTTTTTATGACATAATGTTATCTTGTTGAGTCACCTTTTATTTTTTAATTTTTTTGTGGGTAGACATTCACAAAGAAGTGGACTAAATATATGGGCAAGTATATTTATTTGCTCCAGGTCTTCATAAATCTGGGATTGAGTATATTTATTGAGCCTCACATCATAATATGTATTGATCTGTTACATGGTTCAAATTTTTGACAATGATTTAAATCTCAGTGGGGCTGTGGAGGTTCTATATAGTAGTATTTAGTTGTAATATCGGGGGTGGTAGTACATAGGAATAAATGATATAAACAGGTGGTAAAGACCCGATCACTTGCCTATTTGATATTCTCATCCATATGAACTAAACTTTGGAAAGCTTGACGATGAATTAGCTTCCATATATTCAGGCCTCAAAGTTTTTGTTCCCCCAAAGTACTTCATAATTGAACAACTCAGTCAATATAAAGTAATTGGTAGAATTAACTATATTGAAGTAATTCTCTGGGATTCTGGGGAATATTTATATGTAGATGGTGTAGATACGTGGGAAAACATACTGCTTGGCTCTAGGTCAGAGTATTTGTTGGTACGATTATACTGCAAGACAATTCAGTGAGCTGCATATGACCATCTAAAATAATATTCATTTATATAAAAATAAATGGACGTTTATGTATTTCTTTTGTCTCCCACTACTTAGACTGGAGTACAAATATTCCAAGTTAGTAATGACGGCTAACTCCAAAGAGTGTGAACTCCCAGCTGCAGACAGTTGTGCTATCATGGAAGGAGAAGATAATGAAGAGGAAGTGGTATATTCCAATAAACAGTCACTCCTAGGAAAACTCAAATCCTTGGCAACAAAGGTGAGAGCAGAATTTTGACCTAGTATTGCTGGGCATTGATAAATCGGGGCCACATGAATGAAATAATAGCATTCATGCACACTTTGTTATTCAATGTGTTTATATCTCAGTGGGTATTTCTCCAACAGAAATGCCCTTGGAAGTACATGATGTAAGCACAAGAATATTCACTGCAGCACTATTTTTGCTAGTTAACAAAGTAGAAAGGACTTTAAGTACCAGGAATAAAGAGTTAAATGAGAAATTTTCATATATCAAAGTAATAGAATACTGTGCAACTCTACAGCTATTAGAAACCGAAATATCTATGTGTACTGGTAAGTCACTAGGTCTAAAAGGCAGTGTAAAAAACAACAAATAGACTATCACATTTCGATTAGAATACATTTATGCTATGTAGTATTTGCATAGCTGCTTTTTGTGAATAGAGGGCTAATAAAAGTATTTGTTCTTTGAAAGTAATATTTTTTTTTGTACTATTTGAATTTTTACAAATATACATGTACTACTTTATAATTTTAAGAAATAAAATATTTAGGTTAATAAAAGATCTCATGTTCATCCATTTGTTATTTTTTGTTTTTATTTTATAACAAGGTTATTTTGCGCAGAGAAAACAGAAGTTACATAAAGTATTGAGGTACATAAGGTAGCGTATCAGTTGTTAACCCCATTTGTCGGCTTTGGGATTTTGGAGAATGACTACTGTGTCCAGGCATAACATGAAATCTTAAATATTGCTTGAAAACACATTTATTGACATTCTTCATCACTGACTTAAAAGATGGGAAGTTGTCATTTCACCTATTAAAGATTAAAAATAGAACCAAAAAGAAGACAGAGCATGACTTTCAAATGATTTACAGCAGGATGGACAACTGACAAAAGATTCCTTTTATAGAAAGTATTTCGTAACCATTAGTTTTTACTCTGGCAATTTAGGCATATCAATACATTGTAGGAAATTATTTAAGAATAGAATGAATAAACCATCTTTCCTTTCTACTAATGGTTATTTTTTCTTTTATTAATATGGAAGTTTAAGGAAGGCACTCTCACTATGGAATAATAAATATGTGGTGATGGTTATGAGCGGAGATTTTTACTCTACTTGCAAGCTAATAAGTGAGTCTACCACAGTTTCATGGATGAGGACATGAGGCTCCTGGTCAGAGACACAGGGCAGTTTGGTACTCACAGAGAAGTACTAGGCAGAGTAATAGCTTTATCCTAGTTGTCAAAACCACAAGTAACCCACAGGGCTGTGTATCCCACAGGACTATGTGCAGAGGAAATGATAACACTTGGTTGTGTTATAGGAAAGGGACCCTAAGTTGGAGAACCTGAATTTTCAGAAGGGGTAGTAAGCATGTCTAGCCCTTGCTCCTCGGGGAGCTGTTATCTTTATGGCACTGGACAGGGAGATGCTGGTCATTGCCCTTTGGGAGATACTGTTTCCAAGACTGGAAGTAAGACTTAACTTTGCTTAGGAAGGCGATATTCTCTTTATATTCCAAGGATGTTTTCTGTACAAAGATTCTTGAAAAGATAGTGTAGATTAACAAAGAAGAATCAGTGTCTGATAAGATGTGCTGAAATGCAAGGGAACCATGGAGAATTCTGGTCTGTTTCCTTCATACAGCATTTAACATATAGTAAATAAAACTACGACCAGCAGAATGCCACGCAGCACAATGAGATCAACCTGTATTATTTTTTTTTTTTACTTTTCAGCCCTTTATTTATTTTTTACATTTCAAAATAATAAGGGGTTACAGTTGTTTTTCTTACATGGACACATTGTATGTTTAAGTCAGGGCTTTTATTGTCACCAGCATAACGTTTATTGCACCCAATATGTAAGTTTTTATCTCTCCCTCCCGGATCACATTCCCCTCGTCTTGATTTCCAATATCTTTTATGTCTCTCTGTGCCAACATGTACCCATCATTTCACTCCCACTTACAAGTGAGAACATGGGGTGTTTGTTTCTCCGTTCCTGAGATACTTCACTTAGAATAGAATAATGGTCTTCAGTTCCATCCAAGTTGGTATACACACATACCACATTTCCTTTATCCACTCATGAATTGACGGGCACTAAACCTGATTCCACATCTTTGCAGTGTAGGTGTCCTTTTGATAAAATGATGTCTTTTCCTTTGGGTAGGTAACCAGTAGGGGGAGTACTGGATCAAATAATCATAGTCATAAGAGAAATACCAACTAAAATCACAATGAGATACAAGTTTACACCCTTGTCAGAATGGTTATTAAAAAGTCACAACACAACAGATGCTGGCATGGATGCAAAGACAAAGGACACTGGTTGGTGGACTGCAAATTAGTATGACCTCTATGGAAAACGGTATAGTGACTCCTCAAAGAACTAAATGGGGACTTACTATTTGATCCATCAACCTGTATTATTAACCCCGATTATACCCACAGGGTCCCAGACACAAGTAGCTGAACACATGCTGTAAACCAGGCGTCCTCAAACTACGACCGTGGGCCACATGTGGCCCACTGAGGACATTTATCAGGCCCGCCGGGTGTTTTTGCTGCTGCTGCCTGTCCTGCTTAGCAGCCGACTTGTCCCGGGGCTGCAGTCCGGCCCTCCAGCGGTCTGAGGGACAGTGAACTGGCCCCCTGTTTAAAAAGTGTGAGGACCCCTGCTGTAAACCATCAGGGTTTATCTGAAAAATCTAGGCAGCTTTCCCTA